GAATGTGTTTAGGATACATATTTGTTCACAGGTCAAAATATTGTTAGCTTCCTAATTGTTTAGTTAATATTTATGCTAAAACTTCACATGTGGAACATAAGACAGTGGAAAGGTAATTAGCAAAATAGTGAAGCCCAAATAGCAATGGGCAAAAAACTTTAACTCAAAAATTGAGGGGGAAGAGCTTTTTTTTAAAAGCTTGATAAATAACAACTTAAAAAATAATAGATATGTCTTAATAAATACTACATGAACGTAAATGGACTAAACTTGCCAACTGAAAACAGATTATTGTACTGGATAAAAACAAAACAGCAACCAGCTCTGTGGACTTGTAATAGGCACACCAAAATTATGAGATGCACAAGGTAAAAAATTAAAATATGAGAGAAAAATAGCCTGGGAAAAAACTGACTAAAAGGAGAGGAATTGTGGGGCCATTTTATCAGTACCTGACCCAAGAGACTTTAAGACAAAAAATGCTATTTGAAATGAAGTCACTGAATAAAATTTTTAAAAATCTGTTCACCAAGGAAGATAACATAATTCTAAACTTGCTTGAACATGACAAATATATCAAAACTAACACAAAAAGTTGACACAATTACATGAAAAAATTCATGCAGGCACCACTGTATGTTTAGTGGAAAATTTAACATGCCTCTCTTGTTTAACAAGTTGAGTTTTATGTTTTTTAATTTTTAAATCTATACTTTCTTTTTATATTGTTAATATTTGTGCTCTGGATGCCTGACCGCTTGCTCCCAAGAGGTCTCGCTCGTTCGGTTCTTTTCTGTCTGTTCTCCTTCAAGTCTGACTTCGGCCTTCCTCTCTTCCTAAATATTATTTTCTTCACAATTTCATCTATTTTCATAACTTTAATTGTCACAATATAATGACAACTCTTAGTGTATGTCTCTAAACTGACTTATTTCCTGAAATCTAGACCCATATGTCCTTGTAGTAGGTATCTTCCAGAGATTTAACACAGGAATTACAGTTCACATTTGTAAATATAAGCGCACTAGTTTTTCCCCTAACTTTATCGCTTCATGTGAAAGTGATGTTTTTTCCTAGTCTCCTTCTTTTCTCTCTCTCATCTAAAAATCCATGAAATCCCTTGGTCCTGTCTCCTAATCACTCATTTGTTTGCTGCAGACCCTTGCTGCTAGCTGAATCCCCATGTTCATCACCTCTTATCTGAACCTTGACAGTAACTTCTGTATTTATAGCTTCCATCTTGCCACTTGTTCTTTGCCCCTCTAATTTTCTGCCATTTTTGTGTTGTCATGTTATTACCTTCCCCCAATTTTTTCAGTTTCTTACTATTTATAGAATAGAGTATATACTCTTTCTAGTATGATGGCATTTACAGTTATCTGTATGTAACCTAATTCCTCCCGCTTCTGATCTTTGTTTCTATTATTCGGTTTGTTTTGTTCTGTTTTTAAATTTTGTGGGGCCTCCCTGGTGGCGCAAGGGGTTAAGCACCGCACTGTGAAGCAATCCGCAGCCCCTTAGCACAAGTTCAATCCCCAGCCTGCCAGGAAGAATCCCACATGGCAAGGCAGACTTATCCTGTCTCGCCCGCTGTTCCCCTCAGCAGTGTATTTTAGTCAATCTGCCTGGGGTGTAGGCCAGAGGTATGGGGGGGGGGTTGGTGAGAGGGTACCCCAGAGAGAGTGGAGAGCAGAACAGACAGATCTACAGAAATATACTGCTGAGGGGAGCAGTGGGTGGGACAGGAGAGGTCTACTGCGCCATGTGGGTTAGCTCCCTGGCTGGGGATCAAACTCATGCTGCAATGGCTGCCGATAGCTTCATAATGCTGAGATTTAACCCCTTGTGCCACCAGGGAGGCCCCCAAGTTTGTAAAAACTTTACAGTACGTGGGATAGTTCCACTTGGGGGACAGGAGAAAGTTGAGTAAATCATCCAAATGTATATGTCTAGAAGTACGATTGTGAAGAAGCTATTATACTTCTTCCCAGGACTCCATGGCTTTGCATGTGCAAAACTTTTGCTTGAAATGTTTTCATTTATCCACCTACCCACTTTTTACTCCCCTTCACCTTCAATTCTGGAAAGCTGAAACATTGCCATCTCCTTCAAGTCTTTGAAAGATTCCATGTCCTCATGCCTTTAGGGCATCTTTTCTCAACATAATAATCATTTGGAATACAGGCCTTACCTCTCAATATTGCGTTTTTAAGACCTGTAGGGAAGGGTACTTGGAAAGTTTCCTATATTTCAAAATTTCCTAAAGACAGTACTTCTAAAAGTGTGGTCTAGAGGTTTTGAAATATAGGAAACTTTCCATGTGTTCTTCCCGACAAGTGTGCATGGGTATCTAGAGCCTTCAGAGACTGTCAAGACTGATAGGAGTGGCTGTGAGTCTTTTCTGTCATTCCCTCTTGCCTGCTTAGTTCTCTGCTGCTTGCTTTCCTTATCACTGCTAACCTGGGTCTTTTCTAAGCCTCTTTGTTCTCAGCTCTTCTTCAGTCTTAATTATTGTCTTCTGTTTCCTAGGGCTTTGGTTTTCTGAGAAAAAGATTGGCCTTTTACATACATCACTAATTGGTGACTGTGTCCCTTTGTTTACTGTCAGTGAATGGCCAGTCATAGAAGTCAGCATCTGTCCCGGAGCCTGTTTTTCCTGCTTTGGAGTTTTTCCACTTTCCCAGAGACATGAGTTTCAAAGATTGATCTTTTGCTTGTTAAGGTTTATGAAGGAAAAGGACAATGACATTTAAAGCCATATAACCTGAGAATATAAAGAAACATTTTCTGTTACCTAATGACTGTATCTTCTTGGTGATTTTTCTGATATTTTGAAAGATTTTTCCTGGCGACCTAGTGGTCTTTAAAGTAGTCTGAATAGTGTCCCAAAGGAAAGTCTGTTAGCCCATTTCTGGAACAAATTCTTACTGTTTACTTTGTGTAGAAACCACCCACATGCTGCATTCATTACCGTCATGCCTTTCCTCAGGAGTCTTGATGTTCCAGGCACATTCAGTCAGAGCTTTGGAATTGTGATAACATTATTTAAATTGCTTGAAATTATAGTCTGTGCAGATTTATTACACATTAAACCTTTCAGGCAGTACTTAAAAGGTGAACTGTTAGCAGCTTTTGTTGGTATCTTGGGTATACAGAACTTGCTGGTATGCACAAGTTAATTGACTATGGAAGTTATACTTAAGGCTTTTCTCTGGGAAGCCAGCAGAGCAACAGCACACAGCATTTAGCAGCAGAGAATATGCAGATATTCCAGGGTTGCTCTGAGCACACCTTTAAAGTACTCTCCAAGAGGTATGGGAGTAGCATCCTGGAATAGATGCTTTTGAAAATGGAGGTATTTTTAAAAATGTTTTTTCTTATTAAAGGAAAGTTACCAAGAAAGAAGGATTCCAGTTATCTGCCATAATTGTTTTTATTGAGAAAGTAAAAAGAAGAAAACACTAACAATTTAAAAAATAAACCAATTGTCATTATGTTATACCTATATATAAATCTTTGTATCTTCAGGTCTCTGGTTACTTTATATACTGTTTTATTTACAAACCTGTGGACTTAAATATATGTAAACTATATGTATGCAGATATGTACTTTGCATCCAGAATTATGCTATAAACCTTTTGATGTTGCTGCATCTTATTATTTTATGACTCAGTAATGATCCATTAAGTTGAAACAGTTAACTGTTTCCCTATTATTAGGTAGTTTGTTTACATTTTTACCTATTGTAAATTTACTAGTCTGTACTATCACCTTTTGCCCTTTGTACTTTTAATTATGTCCTTGGGATGAATTCCCAATAGCTAGATTATTAAGTCAGAGAATAAAAACATTTTTTATGGTTTTTGATACAGGTTGTTTCCCCCCCCCAACCCTAAATTATACCAGTTTATGGATCCATCTCCATTTTCTCTTTGCCATATTCAGTGGCCTTTGTTGGGTTGAAACCTTTTTTTCCCCTAGCTTACCTTATATTGTTTTATATTTCTTCAATAGCTAGTAAAGCTAACCTCTTATTTTGGTCTGTAGTTGTTGTTTGTAATCTTGTGGGAAGAGCAGGTGTTTAGACTGCTAGTCTAATAATTAGGACTACTAGTCTAAGATCAGTGAGTATTTAAGGAATAGGATCAGCGACCTGTGACCATAGCTATCTTTGACCAATTCTGGTAAGGGATAGATTAATGTTATGAAAACCTTGATTCATAGAAAAAAGGTCTTACTGAATTAGGGTATACAGAATATTGATTTTTCTTTAGCTTTTCTGTGAGACACAGAAGCCCCTTTAAGGTCTTAATATCCTTCCTTCCTCTAATATGCCCCCTCTTCTATTTTTTGCTTAGTGTAGATCTTGAAATTATAGAGAATTGAACTGAATATTTTATTTTTTCCATGTACACAAGTTGATTTTTTTTTTTTACAAACAAATAATTACAGAGCATCAAACTAAAAACTTGAGTTGGGGACCTTGTGCAGGATGTGGTTATTAGCCTAAGGAGAAATTAAAATCTATGGAAAAGTTATAGTAAAGGGGATGACACAATCAGCATTTTGACAAGCTCAAAATACTTAAAACTAACATTCAATATTGAGGTAACTGAGACTTATAGATGCCTCTGTGGCCCCCTAGGGGTCAGAGGAGAAAATAGAGACTCCATGGGGCATAGATTGGTAATAATTTAAGATTTAGGAAATACTGTTCTTTTTTGAGTCATGTTAATAAAGTATTAAAATGTATTTGATTTGGAGACAGGCACAAATGGATTCTGTTGTGGATGTTAACAGTGCAGGTGAAAGGTAAGGTAACAGAGTAGAGGTGGATGATAGGGATGTAGTAAAGAGTTGGAGAAAAGATTTGACGTATATGGATAAGGGGGCTGGGAATATTTACATTTGACGTATATGGATAAGGGGGCTGGGAATATTTACATTCAGAGTATTTTCTTTTTTTAATTATTTTAATGATGTCCATTCTGTATTTCAGATGAATTTACAACTGATTTTCTGGATTGGACTGATCAGTTCAATTTGCTATGTATTTGGCCAAACAGGTAATAAAAAGATTTTTTTTACTTCAGTATCTTGTGTTACTTTTGAGCAGCATCTTATTTAGATGCTGCTCTTTCTGAAAGCCTTGCAATGGTCCCATCTCATTTGGTGTTAAGGGATGGTCCTTAAAATGACTTTTAGTAAGTTCTACTCATCTTTTCTACCCAGACCAACAATAGGAAGCTTTGCTAGTGAAATGCTAAAAGTATAGGAATACAGTAGACTAAGGAAAGAGTCTTTGAGTATATAGGAAAGTATAAGTAAGCAGAGAGAAAGCAAAGATGTGTATTATACTTAGGACAGAATAAAATCTATTTATAGAGTGGTGGATTACTAGGTAAAAAAAAAATCCAGGAACAGTTGACATTCTAGAGGATAGTTTCACTCTGATCAAGAAGTCTATCATTAAAATAAAAAGACCCTATCAAATGGGAGGGTATATTTGCACATCATACAAATGACAAGGGACTGATATCCAAAATCTACAAAGATCTCATACAACTCAGCAAAAAGAAAACAAGAAATTTAATCATAATATGTGCAGAAGATCGTTAACAGTCACTTCTCCAGAGAAGGCATACAGATGGCAGCAGGCTCATGAAAAATGCACATCATCACTTGTCATCAGAGAACTGTAGATTAAAACCAAAACCACAATGATATACCACCTTACACCTGCGAGAATGACGTATATAAATAAGACCAGAACCTTCAGTTCTGGTGAGTATATGGAGAAAAAAGGAACTACTGTGCTCTGTTGGTGGAAAATGTAGACTAGTCCAGACTCTATGAAAAACAGTATGGAGTTATCTCAAAACATTAAAAATAGGTCTACCATTTGATCCAGCAATTTCACACTTAGGTATTTATACACTTAGGTATGTATTCACTGAATACAAAACTACTAAATTGAAGGTATATGTGCATTCCTGTATATATTGCAGCACTATTAACAAAAGCCAAGGTATGAAAATAACCTAAGTGTTCAATGATAGATAAGTGGATCAATAAGAGGTGTATACACACACACATACACACAGTGGAATACAACAGAACTATAAAAAGGTAAAGTTTTGCCATTTGCAACAACATGGCTCAAAATGTAGGGGACTATGCTAAGCAAATCAGGAGACAAATACCTGATGATTTCACTTATCATGTATAAAGAAAAATGCAAAGGAACAGATAAAACAAAGACAAAACAAGTCCTTGAAATCTGACTCTAGAACTGGGTCTACTTGAACAAGCGGGTTACAGCAAAGGAGGGAGTTGGCTCTGTTGGACTATTTATTTATTTATTTATTTATTTTTAAAGTTTTTATTATTTTTTTTTTTAAATAATAATTTTTATTTTTATATTCCCCATACAATTGCAGCCCCCCCATTCTGACCCCAATCCCTCCCCTCCCACCCCCCCCCCGCCCCCAAAAAGTGTCTCTGGTTCATAGTTTTTTGTTGATTTTGATTTTCACTTTCTTATAGTTATTCATTTTCCTGGTCCCTTATTTAAGTTTTCTAGATTCCTGCTATGAGTGAGACCATCCGGTATTTTTCTTTTTCTTTTTGGCTTATTTCGCTGAGCATGATCCCTTCCAGCGCCATCCATGTTGCTGCAAATTGCATGTGTTTATCTTTTTTGAATGCTGAGTAATATTCCATGGTGTATATGTACCACATCTTCTTGATCCAGTCATCTATTTTTGGGCATTTGGGTTGTTTCCAAAGCTTAGCTATTGTAAACAGTGCTGCTATAAACATAGGGGTGCAGGTGTTCTTTGGAATTGATGTTTCTGTGTCCTTTGGGTAAATCCCTAGGAGTGGAATTGCTGGATCATATGGAAGCTCTATGTTTAGTAGGTCCAGAAATCTCCACACAGCTCTCCATAGTGGTTGGATCAGTTTGCACTCCCACCAACAGTGCAGGAGAGTTCCTTTTTCTCCACACCCTCGCCTCTGTTGCACTATTTAGAAGATGATTGGTATTTTGCTGGTGGGTTTGGTGAGAGAACATAAATTTGTAGATTGGTGAACCAGTACTCCTGAAACATAAATAGTGTTAAACATCAGTGTTACCTCAGTAGACACAATGGTAAAAAATGAGAAACTAAGCAAAGGTTACTTTCATTAATGTGGAGCTTCAGTAGCAACAGATGAACGTGACAGTAGAAAAATTTACAAGACGCAATAAAAAAATGTGAAAAAAAATGGTTAGCAAAAACATGAAAAGATAGGATATTTTAAATCCCTAACAATAGAATTGATATTCTAATATAAAACTTTTAAATGATTAAAACATTTTATAATGAAAATGTACTTAGTATTGTTGAAGGTATGATAAAATAATAGTATACTGCTTATGGGTATATACTTTGGAATATTGTGGATAGAAATTAGTATTTTGGAGTCTTAAAAATGTTACTATTCATCTCAATATTTTATTTGAATTTGTAATAAAGACACTTTCCCATATAAAAATGGTCTTTAGAGTAGATGCATGTATATGCATTTATAAACATGTAAGCCTTCCTCAGATTATGAAAAACCTCATAAGTTGAAAATAATGTAAGTTGAAAATGATTTGATACCACCTACCAAACATCATAGCTTAGCTTTACCTACCTTAAACATACACAGAACACTTACCTCAGCCTACAATTAGGCAAAAATCATCTAATTCAAAATCTATTTTATAATACTATTGAATATCATGTAATTTATTGAAACTACTGAAAATGATAAATGGAATAGGTATATGAGTTCTTACCTTTAGCTTACACAGTTGAAAGTATACTGGGATTTCTGCAGATTGCTTTTGCAACATTGTAGAGTTGAAAAAAGTCTCATCATCCATATATGCGTTTTGAGAGTTTACATGTATATTTGAACAAGCATATGTGAATGATGCACACATGTAACTGAACAATCTAAATTTCTCCAACATTAGAAAAAGGGATTCTCCCACACTGCTGGTGGAAATGCAAACTGGTCCATCCACTATGGGAAGCTGTGTGGGGTTCCTTAAATTACTAAAAATTGAGCTACCATATGACCCGGCAATTCCACTCCTGGGAATCTACCCAAAGAACACAAAAACATTAATTCAAAAGGATACCTGCACCCCTGTGTTTATTGCAGCAGTATTTACAATAGGTAAGATATGGAAACAACCTAAATGCCCAAAAATGGATTACTGGATCAAGAAAATGTGGTCTATATATACACAATGTAATGCTATTCAGCAATCAAAAAAGATAAACTCATGCCATTTGCAGCAACATGGATATAAGGCAGAAGGAAAAAGAAAAATTTCGATGGTTTCACTTATAGAAGGAATATAGAGGAACCACTTACAGGAGCAGGAAAAAGTAAATAAATAAAAAAGCAAAACTAACAGGCAACTATAAATCAGTGACATTCTGCAGGGGTCAGGGAGGGAGAGGGATAGAAAGAGCACAAGGGACTATGGTGATGGTTCACAGGTTAATTGGTGGTGGGAATTTTACAGGGACTATACCTGAGAGGAGAAATCAAACATTGTATAAAAATAAACAATGAAGTAAAAAAATATATAATACTAAAAAAAAAAAATTTCTCCAACATTAGAGTATCTTATCATATATAATCATTAAATGCCATATTTTTAAAGAATTTTTAATGAAACATTTACAATAAAATATGAAAAGCAGTATAAAAAATTGTATTATAATTGAAGTATAGCCTCACTTTCATATAAATGATGTCTCTAGGCTTTCTCCTATTTTTTGATCTCTCTGCCTAGAAAAATTACTGGAAAGAAATATGCAAAATTATCTCCTACTAATGTATAATTAGTGATCTTTAGTTTATCGTTTGTTTTCATGTGTTTTCCAAGTTTCTATAATGAGCATGTGTTAGGTTTTCATTTAGAAAAGATACATTGGAGATAGTACATAGTAGTGCTTATCACATGAAAAACATGCCAATACTTAGATGGAATTGAAAAAATGTAAAACATTCTTTAAACACAACCTGAAAAATCATTGGCTTGTGGACTAGGTGAATATAAATTTTGCAAAAATTTAAAATACTCAAAACCATCTGAAAGATGCTGAAGATGTTGGGTCAGGGAGCAGGTTATGGATAGGATAGTATGAGTTAAATGAAAATAATCTTTTGCCAAGTTGTAACAAAACTGACATTAATAGATAGGTAGATCCTGAAACTATGCCTTTAAGAAAAAGGATAAATGTATAGATTATGTTACTTAGTCTTTGCTACAGAAGACAAGCAAGGTAACTGTCTTTTTATGGCTTTGTGCTAATATGAATGATCCAAAATTATGTATCTTTGGGTTTCTTGGGGGTAGGGATGGATCAGCTGGGTGACTAGGTTCATAGTGTTCATATTTAACATTCAGATAGTTGCATTGTCATTGTCATTTTGGTTTCTCTTTTTTTTTTTAATTTCAAGTAAAGTGGTCTATTTTTTTTTTTTTTTTTGACAGATGAAAATAGATGTTTGAAAGCAAATGCTAAATCATGTGGAGAATGTATACAAGCAGGACCAAATTGTGGATGGTGTACAAATTCAGTAAGATTGCTCAGATCCTTTCCATTTATTCCCTAAACATTTAGTGTTGCCTAATACGTATCCATGGAAGTGCTGGAGATGAATTTTTACTTAAATTTATTTTTATTGAATGAGTGTTAACTCTACAGTACTTGTGATTGACTAGAGCTTGATATTCAAGACAGTTTAGGCACCTGTGTCTCTTGAGTACTTGAAATATGAGTAGTGGAAATTAAGAATTGCTATAAACCTGTAAGTCACAAATGCATACCAAAGTTCAAAGACTTAATGATAAAAAATTCATTATAATGTTAACTTAATGTCATTAATAATTGTCAAACTATTTCCTTTGAATTTTCTAGTTATATTTGAATTAAACCAGTACAGAATTGGTTTTTTTTTTTCTAATGAAGCCTGCTTAGGTTAGGGTTCAACTATTTTTCACTTTGTCATCTCTATATGTTACTTAACATAGTACCTTCTTAAAGCTTACTAAATGTTGAGGAATGAATGAATGAACAGCCTAATTAATGAATGCTGGAACAGGAGGAAAAGATGAATAAATTTGAAGATAGAGAATTTATTCACAGAGTAAATAATATCAGAAAGCAAAGGTTTATGTTTTTACTCAGCCATGTGAAGCCGTATTTCAAGTGACTGTTTTGTAAGCATAATTGGTTAAATATCAGAAATTTCATATCATTTAACCACATGAAAGACAAATGAGAGTGTTTGTTGTTTAATTTTTCTCACGACACTTCCCATTCTAGAAATGGTATTCTGGACTTGCATTGGTGACAATGGAGGGAATAGGGAGTGCTGTGAGTTCATCTCAGAACAGGCTTACTTACCGGAAAATCTTTGGTTTTCCTGCTGAGAAAGTGAGCTTAACAAAACCCTGCTTTATCTGTGTTGTTACATGAATTAGATTTGATCGAATTTAAATAAAGCAATTTCACTTGGAAGGTTCTAAGTAACTAGTAACTACTAAGTGATTTCACTTAAAAAAAATCTTGATTAGATACTCGGACTTTGAATGTGGGACAGTTATACTTAGGTCAATCCTAAATCACTGAAGGCTCACTCACCACTAAATTGGTAGACAATAAATGCCATATAAAGCTGAACATAAAGTCACCCCAATTAAAAGGCATTCCCTCATTTTCCCAATGTCCAGATTAAAAGAAAAGATGATTTTTGGCTAACTAAATGTGAAAATTTTAGGGATATATGTGAAATATTCTGCTTAAGTAATTAATCGATTTAGTTATAGGTACACATTTTAAAATGACATACACATGTATGTGTATGTAAACTAAAATCATTGTTTTATTTCCCTACTATCACATATCTTGAAAAACTTACTCAGAATCTTTACCTATATCTTGACTATAGTGTTGTTAGTTTTGCTTTCACTAAAGTACTTTCTCATTCATTTGAGAAAAATTTTATTTCCATCTAATTGTTAGAGATCTAACGTATTTTGAAGTTACATAACTACTGGGAATTATACCCCAAGTCACAAATACAATTTACATATCATTTGTACCTTTTTTATTTCATTTTTAAAAAAATTTATCCTTTGAAAATAAAATAATGACTCTTATCATATAATCACTTATTTTATTATTTAAAATAAGTTTTAAAGACTTCGTTACAATAATAGCCAATACTTGAAAAATTTTCAAACCTCCTAGAGTATTTACTAAATCGGTGTTATATTTCTTGCTCTCCTTTTTAAAAATAACAAGATTGAGTTGATTTTAGGCTAATATGTGTTCCCTAAACATTGAGCTATTAAAAACATTGTGAGGGAGAACGCTACATAATATAACTTTGTGAAGACTTCTCTAAGGAAAAAGTTAGAAAGAAAAAAACTGATATTTGGCTATATACATTATTAGTGACTACCAACCTGGTGAATAAGTGATTTCACTTAAAAAATATCTTGATCAGATACTCTGACTTTGAATGTGGGACAATTACACTTAGGTCAATCCTAAGTATCACTGACGTATAACAAGTTACTAATAGTATATTAATAATAAAGGTATTTTGTTGCTAGGAAATTATTTTTGTTTTTAAATGGGCACTTAGAATTTGAGAGGAGGATTTTGTTTAAAAATATGAAATGAAGTTTGTTGGGTATGTTTGATTTTTTTTGCAATTTAATCACACATTGCAATTACATTTATCTAGCGGGTATGACCATTATACATTTTACTTACATATATTTTATGTCATTTAGACATTTTTACAAGAAGGAATGCCTACTTCTGCACGATGTGATGATTTAGAAGCCTTAAAAAAGAAGGGTTGCCACCCAGATGACATAGAAAATCCCAGAGGTTCTAAAGATATAACGAAAAATAAAGTCGTAACTAACCGTAGTAAAGGAACAGCGGAGAAACTCCAGCCAGAAGATATCACTCAGATACAACCACAGCAATTGGTTTTGCAGTTACGATCAGGTATAGAAATCCAATTATGAATACTTTTGTTCCTACTTGAGCTTTTTGACGGCTCCATATAAACTTCTTACCAGTTTCTGTTGAGGGTCATTTTCTGGACCTGCACTCAAATAGAAATGTAGAATGCGTTAAATTTTAGAAATTTTTTGCAGATACAACAAAGACACATATACATGAAAGAATAATGTTTGCCTAATTTCCAAAAAAGTAAAGTCTGTTACAGGATTTGAAAGTATTAGATTTAATAGGTTTTTGGTTTTTTTTTTAAAGATTTTTTATTTATACAAGAACCAGGGTACAGGCCAGAATCGCAGGAGGGTGAAGAGGATTCACCAGAGACAGAGTCGGAAACAGAACAGGCAGACTGACGAAATACACTGCTGAGGGGAGCAGTGGGCGAGACAGGAGAGGTCTGTTTGCCATGTGGGTATCTCCATGGCCAGTGGGGATCGAACTGGCACTGCAGAGGCTGTGGACAGCTTCACAGCACTGTGTTCAACCGCCTGTGCCACCAGGGAGGCCCAGATCTAACAGGTTTTAAAAACAAGTGTACATCCTTATAAATACAACCTTTTCAACTATTTTTTTCTTAGTATTTGTTTAGTATTAAGATAGTAAGATTTTTGTAAAAATCTGGCAGTTTTGTTTTTAAAAAGGAAAAAAGGCCGTTTCTGTTCTTTCCAGTTTCCGCCCCTTTCGGAGGAGTGTTTGTGGCAGTCATGACTTCCCCCTCATCCACTCTTCTATCTGTTTCAGTGATATCTCTGCTGTTAAACCCATTCTGACAAATCTCTACCACCACTTGGAACTCCCAAGCCTAGCGCTCCTATGTAGGGCCTATTTGTGGTTTCTTTCAACATTTCTGTGCCAAGTGATGCCTTTGAACTCTCTTCCATGATATCACTCCTAGTTTTTCTTATTATTTAAGATTGCTTTCCAACCTCCTTTTGGTGTCTTTTTATCTTCCTCTTTCTTTATAGTCCATTTAATTGTTGATTTCTTTCATGGCATTAAAACTATTTGTATGATTTAATACAGGCTTTTTTTTTTAAACTTATCTGTTTATGCATATAAGAATTGGGGTACAGGCCAGAGGTGTGGGGGGTAAGAGAATTCCCAAAGACAGAGTGGGGCACAGAAGAGGCAGATTGATGGAAATACACCGCTGAGGGGAGCAGCGGGTGAGTCAGGAGAGTCTGCTGCGCCATGTGGGTTGCTTCCTGGCCAGGGATAGAACTCGTGCTGCAGTGGCTGCAGACAGCCTCATAGGTTGCGTCCCAACCCTCTGCACCACCAGGGAGGCCCTAATACAGACTTTTATCTTAACCTCCAAACCTATTTATCCAATTGAATTCCAGAAATATATATAGCAAAAATATACAAGTTAGAATTTAGAGATTTTTCACCCAACTCTCCTGTAGTTCCTAAGTGATTTATATGCAACACTTCTTTTTTGTTTAAAGCCTTTAAAAAAAAAAAAAAAAAAGATTTATTTATTTATTTATTTATACAAGCACTGGGTACAGTCAGAAACGCGGGAGGGTGAGAGAATTCACCAGAGCCAGAGGGGAGAGCAGAGCAGTCAGATTGACAGAGTATACTGCTGAGGGGAGCAGCGGGCGGCAGGAGAGGTCTGCGCACCATGTGGGACCCTCGCCCCACGGCCGGGGATCAAACCAGCGCTGCAGAGGCTGTGGGCAGCTTTGCAGCCCAGCGCTCAACTTGCGCCACCAGAGGAAGCCCTGTAACACTTCTTATATCCTTCTTCTTCCTCATTGTTTAGATTGTCACCATCCTCCTCACGGATTTTTGCTGTGGTTTCTGAACAAGTATCTTTGTATCTGTAATTCATGTTAAAATTTTTGCCAGATTTTTCTTAAAGTAAAAATCGGATTATATTATTGATTTGCACATATATTGAGTCCTCACTTAATGTAACTTATAAGTTCTTGAAAACTGACTTTGAGCAAAACAACATGTAACAAAACTAAGTCCTCAGATAACATTATTTTGTTCAACATTGGCCAGGAATTACTCATGAATGTTAGAATGAAATGACATAGAAATGATATTATTTGAGGACCTGCTGTAGTGACATCTCATTTAACAGAGAACACAATCTTACAACTTCAGTCTCTAAAAAATCAGGGGTGCCCTATGATGTGCCCTCCTTTATTCACCCCACTCTATATATTCTATTTGTTTGCTTGTGTCATAGTTATAAATTACTATTTGTCTTTCCCACTGTGGATTGGAGATACTGTCTTTTGCATCTTATATCCTCTGGACTTACCATTTTAATTACTGAATAAAATTGGGTATACATCCATTGACTTTCCTGTGGAATTTCTAGGTGTTTGTAAAGATTATAGCAATAATTTCATTTTATAGTGTTATAAATCCAGTTGGATTTTCTTATTTGCTTTTGATAGCTGGCAAGGAAATTTCATTTTCTAATCTCTTTAATTAGGGGAGCCACAGACATTTACCTTAAAATTCAAGAGAGCTGAAGACTATCCCATAGATCTCTACTACCTGATGGACCTGTCTTACTCTATGAAAGATGATTTGGAGAATGTAAAAAGTCTTGGAACAGATCTGATGAATGAAATGAGGAGGATTACTTCAGACTTCCGAATTGGTAGGAATATTGAGAAAATTAAAACTTTTGTATAAGTCTTGAGAGTTTTGTTCCTCCCTATATACTTGTGAGATAAATAGGCCAGGTTTTATTCTTTTCTTTCTGAGAGGAAATTAATGGTTGTCTTAAGTACCTACCTCTGTCACATATCTAATGATCTGCCGCCTTGTTCTTCTATTACTCTATGGGACCATGTTATTTGACAGAGATTATATTACATAGATAATGAAGTGCATACTTACTTTCATAGAATATTACTCATTTGTTGCTTTGTTTTATAAACCTACTGAGTACTCAGATTGTTTCATTGTTAACCCTTTGCACTCTGAACCATTTTACGATATTTTGATTTAATTTCTTGTCCCATTTCAAGATAAAACTTCAGGGAAACATGCATGTCTCAAAAAGTTGCGTTGAAATAACCTCAATTCCCCGTAATCACTAATAAATTGCAATGTCCCCTGAGAGGGGACATCCGAGTGATATGCTGTCCCCTGAGAGGGGACAGCGGAGTGCAAAGGGTTAATATTACACCTGTGTGTACAACCGAATCTCACTTTAGACCTGGATTTTTCATATTACAGTGATCAAATGACCACCTTTTCAAACTTCCTTTTTAAAACCTTGTTAGTTCTTATTAAAGAAAAGCATTGATTTCCATGTGGTAACATACTTGATTTTTTTCTTAGCGCAGGTTTTCCCTCCATCCCTCCATTGACTATATGCATTTTATCTTTGCAGGCTTTGGCTCATTCGTGGAGAAAACTGTGATGCCTTACATTAGTACAACACCAGCTAAGCTCAGGAACCCTTGCACAAGTGAACAGAACTGCACCAGCCCATTTAGCTACAAAAATGTGCTTAGCCTTACTGATAAAGGGGAAGTATTTAATGAACTTGTTGGTAAACAGCGCATATCTGGCAATTTGGATTCTCCAGAAGGTGGCTTTGATGCAATCATGCAAGTTGCAGTTTGTGGAGTAAGTACATTCATTTCCTACAAAGGAACATTATTTCCTTTTTAGCATTAAAAGTAGAATGGTGTCTCAGATTCCATTTTCCTTTATCAGTTTTCTTTTACCATTATCTCTTAAAAATGTCTTTTCCCTGTGTCTTTGTAATGGAAAAGGAAGGTGCTTTTATAAAAGTCTTGTTTGCAAGCTGTGTAAAAACATGTGTTTTGCAAAGCCATATATTAGTAATTTTATTTGCAAAATTTTTAGTAGTAGCAAGCTCATCTCCTTGGACCACTGTTCAGAATTTTATGACCCATTTACCATCTGAGAATAATGAGATGACCGTTTCATGGAAAAATTGAAGCTGAAATTAGAAAGTATTGTGAGGTGTACATAGTCTGATTACCTCTTTTCCTTCCAGCCCTTTGTTATTCTGTTAACTCATGGAGGAGAGAAAATTCTCTGGGCTGTCTCTTAGTATTTCTTGACCTGTGGGGTTAAAACAAGCCATGGACCCATGACCACTACTGCTTTTCTGTCTGTCATGCTTTCTACGAATGACTTTTCTACCTACTTCTTGAGATTCAAAAGAGACTGATGTTTCACTTAGATTCACAGCATTAATAAATTTAATTCCTGCCTTCAAGGAATTCACAATATTAGTATATAAATGGATATATATATTTAGACAAATTTAACTGCAAAATTACCATAGAGAGAAGAGGGTTTTACTATTTTGAACTTTTCGTTCATTAAGTTAGAGGATAAAACACATGAGCAAATGAATGATACTGATGAGTTAGAATGGATGGAATTAAAGCAGAGCAAATCTTTGAAGGTAATTTTTCCTATAATTAAAATGGGAAAGTCTAATATGGAGGGATGGAGGGCTGATAAAGGAGATGTATGTGTTATAGAAGGAAAATAGAGCATGGATGAAAGGATGGATTGGCCCAGGAGAGCAGCATTAGGTTGAAGCATAAAGGATGGGCTAAGGTCTTTATCTTTTATTGAAGTGTAATTTACATATAGCATTATGTTAGTTTCAGGGTAGGACATGATAATTTACCTTCATAAGCAATGCAAAATGATGACCACAATAAGTCTGTTTCCTTTATAAAGCATTTTTATTTATTCAGCCAGTATTCATTAAGCAACCTCTGTATACGAAACACTGAGTTCAACTGCTGTAGAGAGGATGAGGAGCAAAACCAGATGTGAACCCTGCCCCAGAGGGGGAGAGAGGCTGATTTTAAATGATACAGTTTGTGAAAACAGACTGACACAAATGGATAACCAAACAAAATACAGTTTTACAATGGGGTGGAGGAGCTTTTGTGCAGTGGGCTCTACACCTTTATCAGCAATACATTGTAAAGAGAAATGATATAGAAAAGATACATCATTAGGTTAAATGTGCAGTGGTAGCCTATGTAAAATTAAAATATGTTGAATTATTGTTAGCAGTATTTTAAAATTGAAATTCTTTTCTTTTTAAGTCATTGATTGGCTGGAGGAATGTTACACGTCTGCTGGTATTTTCCACGGATGCTGGGTTTCACTTTGCTGGAGATGGGAAACTTGGTGGCATTGTTTTACCAAATGATGGGCAGTGCCACCTGGAAAATGATGTATACACAATGAGCCATTATTATGTGAGTGCTTAATTCCTTACATACTGACTTAATTTATAGTTAAAAATTATGCATAACTGACTTGTTGGTTTTTCAGGGTTTGGATTTTTGGTTTGGTAAGTGTGAGCCCCAACTTAATATGTAGGAAAGCTAATATGACTGTTTCTGAAGATGTGGCTTTGTGCTTGCTTCTTTCCATTTAGACAAGGCCTCCTGATAGCATAGAGAGCTGCTGAGGCACTTCTTACCTTAACTCAGAGCTGTGGCTCCTCACTTGAATTTATCATTTGGTAGCAGATTTGATACTTCTTTTTGGGAGGTGGGGTGCAGTTTCTCATTTAGTTTTACATTCAATTTTTTTTTTTTAATTAAGGTAAGATTGGTTTACAACACTTATGTTTTAGGAGTACAGGTGCATACACATTCCAGTGTCTGTTGTGACACCACATGCCCCATAGAGGTACCAGCACCCCTCTGCCAAATTGGGCTCCCTCCACTCTTTGCTTCTAGCCTCTCCCCTCTTTCATATTATTCCCGAATATATTTATGTAATAGCCTTGTATTTCTCACAATCTGATTTTTAAAAACAGGCATCCTGCTGCTACTGAAAATAAAGATTGGCAAATTATTCAAGTTCTAGAAGAAATCTAAACCTTGATGAATCTTGGTCTTTTTTTAAATGATATATACTACAACTTTAATTATGGGAATTCTTTTTTTTTTTTTTTTTAAGATTTATTTATTTATACAAGCACTGGGTACAGTAGAAGCGCGGTGACAGAATTCACCAGAGCAAGAACGGGTAGCAGAACAGGCAGACTGACGAAATACACTGCTGAGGGGAGCAGCGGGCGTGGCAGGAGAGGTCTGCGTGCCATGTGGGACCCTCACTGGCTGGCCGGGGATCGAACTGGCACTGCAGAGGCTGTGGGCAGGTTTGCAGCCTAGTGCTCAACTGCTGCACCACCTGGGAGGCCCCTGGAATTCTTTAATTTCATTGATCTGACAATATATATATGCTCTTTGTTTTTGAAACCTTTTAACATTTTTATACAGATACTAAGATAAAGAGGATAGGATTAAAAACCCATTTCATCAATTATTTGTGATACTTCAAGCAGTCTTACATAACAGATAAATAAGTAAATTATTCTCAGTACTGAAAAGCTGGAATAGACTGTATGTCATTACCTACTAAGTTTTATTACTTAATTTCCTAGGATTATCCTTCTATTGCTCACCTTGTCCAGAAACTAAGTGAAAATAACATTCAGACAATTTTTGCAGTTACTGAAGAATTTCAGCCTGTTTACAAGGTAAATATACGTGAAATAAAAAGAATTAATTTATATGCCCTATTTGTTTAGTCATAGAGAGGCAAACTCTTATGTCTGAATTGAAATATGATAAAATGTCATCTAGACAGACTTCACAAAAGCAGTTCATATTAATTTTTAATTTTATATATAAAACTAGATTTTTTTGTTTGTTTTCCAGAATAAGACCCCTTACTTTATTTACAAATTTTATAGGGAACTGGTATTTTAAAATGAGTAGTGTAGGCTCAATAAGTGGTAATGGGTTGAATGAATACTATTCTGTGTTTTACATGTTTTATCTTTCAATTGCAGGAACTGAAAAATTTGATTCCCAAGTCAGCAGTAGGAACATTATCTGCAAATTCCAGCAATGTAATTCAGTTGATCATTGATGCCTACAATGTGAGTACATTTCAAGTAATATCTGTTTTGAACAGTACCCTGCTGAGAATATTTAGCTACAAAAGTAAAATTCCCCTCACATAAAATTTAGCAAACCCAGAGGACACATTAGAATTTACATTTTATGTATTTGGAGGAAAAGCTATATATTCTCTTAGAAAAGCATAATTATTTGCAAAGCCCAAACAAATCAAATATATGATAAAGAAATGGGAAAATTTCTAAATTTGTTTATCTTTAAACAGTAGGTCTCTTTGTTGGAAAGCAAGTGTGAAACATAGCTTACATTTAGACTTAGGAGTCCCTCAATCTTTTTGTTATAGATTCATCTGTTGTGATGAATGGTGCTGGAAAAGCTTTTTTGCCAGTTCTTCTCTAGTCATATATTTAGAAGATGTTGTTTATATTCTTAAGAGGTACACACTCACTCAAATGTACATGAGCTAGGAAATATATACATATGTATGACTTTTAAAAAATTTATAAGGCCTACCACCACACACACCCCCCCACACACACAGATGTTGAATTGAAATCAAAAGGAAGTTACTTTTCTCTGTATAGAAATTAATTCAGAGTACCTTTAATGATACTCATTAAGCACCAGTTTAATAATCATTTTAAATAATCTAAAAGCATCTGTAGGATTAAGGTAACCATTTTGATACCTTAACACACAACCCAGTCACACGTTGAATTTTGGGTATTTTTTATCTCATACCAGAGTTCCCAAAATGTTTTTGAAAATTTTGACTCACAGAAAAAAGGTTTTTATAAAAGATTTTCAAGATTCTCCTTTTCTCCTGTGTTCTTCATCTAACAGTATCTTAGTGTTTCCTTAACTCCCATTCATGTTGGGGTATGAATAAGAGATAGCTTGTCACTTTAGCCTTCTCCATTTGTCCTGAGAAGTCTGAATTCTAAAAGAGCACTGGTTTGAAGAATACCTCCTACTTAGGGTTTTGTTTTGTTGGCTTTTTGGTGGGGGTTTGAGGGGGATGGGTGGGCAGGGCTACAGTGACTCCTAAGCAAATTTATTCCCAGACTCCAGTGGATCATTTTACCTTAGCAAGAAGTGCTACGACCAGGATAGAGAGAGCCGTATTGCCATTGGGGAAAGACAATGTTCTGAGTTCTCAGGACTCGGCATGTTAGGCTTCTGTACAATGTGATCATTAATGTTTTTACTAAATAATAAAACACAAATTCTCTTACTTTTCAATCAACATATTTTGAGGAAGTGATCCTTTAGTATGTTAGAGCTTGTTTCTGTGAGTTCTGAGTTTTGTGTTTTTTGAAAAGTTAATAGGATTTGCCTTCAGATGTTTTATTTAAATTTGTTTTTTTAAAAGTTCATTTTATCTATGGGTTTTATGCATTCAACTTACTTTATGTAGCACTGTTGCCTTTCTTTTCTATAATTAGTCTTTGTTTTAGTCCCTTTCCTCAGAAGTCATTTTGGAAAACAGTAAATTGCCAGAGGGAGTAACAATAAATTATAAATCTTACTGCAAGAATGGTGTGAATGGAACAGGGGAAAATGGAAGAAAATGCTCCAATATTTCCATTGGAGATGAGGTATGTTGTAGAAACATTTTTTGAAGGAAAAAAAAAAAATCTTTTGTTTGTAAGCAATCTAGTTTAATTTGAGAAATGATAAATGAATAGCTCTTTGAAATATTTTCATTAGATCTAATTGCTTAGTTGTTAATTTGTTTTTCTTTCAAGGTTCAATTTGAAATTAGCATAACTTCCAATAAATGTCCAAATAAACATTCTGAAACAATTAAAATTAAGCCTCTGGGCTTCACTGAAGAAGTAGAGATTATTCTCCAGTTCATCTGTACATGTGAATGCCAAAGTGAAGGCATCCCTAGCAGTCCAAAGTGTCATGAAGGAAATGGAACATTTGAGTGTGGAGCTTGTAGGTAAGCTGGAAGTTGTTTCAAAATGTGTTTGCAGGCAATGTTTTGGGACATTCAGAACAATAAATTATTTATTCCAATAGCTGTTACTCATCATAAGATAAATTTGATGATTTTGGATGTGATATTTATAGTTCTTGCCCTTTTTTCTTAAGAAAACTGCTCTTTAATGTATTTTTACAAGCTTTTATAGACATCTAAGGCATATATTTAACAAACTGTTAAGGTAGTGTTTGGGTGTTTCTCTCAATATGAAATTTTCTAATCTGAAAAGCTAATATAAAATGTTTTTATAGAAAAATATTTTGGCAAAACATAACAAACTTACTCTGGTGATTATTTTATAGGAAATGGACTTAAGAAGCAATAAAGGATATTTACCTTGTACAAAGATACTCCTTCCTACATTGCATTTTTTTTTAAATATTTGTAAAATTGAAAAGAAAGCAGTATTTTCAAAATATAGAATTTACCACTAATCAAACTTACTACGCCTAAAAATTTTCTATTTTCACACATTGGTTACCATTAAATTAAAAATTAAAATTGAATATATGCTGAATAGAGCTCTCTTTAAAGACTAGGAGGAGGCGAGAATATTTTGATGCAAATGTCAATTCCAAATATCTATACTTTGAAGATTTTTTTTTAGTCATGATACAAATAAAATGTATTTTACCATTAGTTATTAACTGTCTATTCTAAATGATAATAGTTAAAATGTAACATTTTTCTTTCATGCTGTATATATCATGACTGAGTCATGTGCATTTATACTGAACCAAAAAGATAATCTTGAAAATGTTTTGCCTTCTTTATACACTTACCAGATATAGAACTAACGTATCCAGTGTCTGAAAGCATTAGGTAGTCTAAAAATACACAATGTGTCTGAAAAGTCTTCTCATAGGATAAATTTATTTTTAAATAGTATGTTACTTATTTGGCTTGATAAATTCACTGTTTTCAAATGATCTTAGTATTTTTCTTCAACTTCCATGATCTTTTTGGGGTATGCAAATTGTCCTTGTAGATTAACTATTTAACTGTTGCTTTACATTTCATAGCTCATTCTTCACTTACAACAACAAATGTAATAGCATGCCATTTGAAAACATATAATCTGTAAAAATAAGTTTATACTGTGTTTCTGAGTTTTTTTCACCTCTTTATTGCTGGATTTTATTTTTATTTTGATCAAAATGATTACATTGCTGAGGAAGGATTTTGTTCCTAGCCCCTTGCATACATTCCATGTAAACTTTGGTGTGTGGATTGCCTGTGCTTGCTTTTGTATCTCTGTATGACATGTGTGGCATGAACATTTTTCTTTAATATAATTGTAGTTTAAAGTACTGCCTACAGTATTATTTCCTTTTCTAGTCTTTTTTTCCCTTTCTCACAGTATGAATTAGTTAAAATTATTTTTACTTTATATGATTGAAATTTTGGACTCTTTCTTTAGGTGCAATGAGGGACGTGTTGGTAGACATTGTGAATGTAGCACAGATGAAGTTAACAGTGAAGATATGGATGCTTACTGCAGGAAAGAAAACAGTTCAGAAATATGTAGCAACAATGGAGAGTGTGTCTGTGGACAATGTGTTTGTAGGAAGAGAGATAATACAAATGAAATTTATTCTGGCAAATTTTGCGAATGTGATAATTTCAACTGTGATAGATCCAATGGCTTAATATGTGGAGGTAAGTAAGGGGCCTGAAAATGGTTATAAAATATGATCCCATCTAATACCATAAAAAAGCTAAGATAGTGTTTGTTGAATAAATAGAAAATTAGGGCAGTATAGAGGGTTAGTTCATGCCTTAGATGCTCTTGCTTCCACATTATTTATGTTTACTTTAAATCAATATGATTATATATTTTTACCATAGTTATAAAAAAAATTGCATTTTTAATTGCAGGAAATGGTATTTGCAAGTGTCGTGTTTGTGAATGCAACCCAAACTACACTGGCAGTGCATGTGATTGTTCTTTGGATACTACCTCTTGTATGGCCACAAATGGACAAATCTGTAATGGCCGGGGCATCTGTGAGTGCGGGGCCTGTAAGTGTACAGATCCAAAGTTTCAAGGGCCAACTTGTGAGATGTGTCAGACCTGCCTTGGTGTCTGTGCTGAACATAAGTAAGTATGTAATTATTTGAAACAGCTCATTTATTATCTAAATTATTATCTTTCAAGTAAACAGCAAAATTGAAGGGTTTTCCTTCTCTTATGGGTTTGAATTATTATTGTTTGCAATACTTTGTTTAAATTATTTTGGTTTTTATGTTACATATTCTTTATCTTTTAGGGCTGGTTTTACTTTAGTATTCTTTCGTTTTGGGGATTTTAGTTGGAACTGTAAATTTATAATTTCATTTGAGAAGCTAGCATCTTTACGTATATGTTGTCTATCTAGAAATGTTGTGTACCTCTATTCAGTCTTCTTTCATAGCTCTTGATTTAATTTAGTTATATTTTGAATCTAGCACACACAATAGCTTTAAGCTAACATTTTAAATAATGAAATTTAAATGTAATATTTCGTGTTTTAACAGAGAATGTGTCCAGTGCAGAGCCTTCAATAAAGGAGAAAAAAAAGACACATGTGCACAAGAATGTTCACATTTCAACATTACCAAGGTTGAAAATCGGGATAAATTACCCCAGCCTGGCCAGGTTGACCCCTTGTCCCATTGTAAAGAGAAAGATGTTGATGACTGCTGGTTCTACTTCACATATTCAGTCAATGGGAACAATGAAGCCATTGTTCATGTTGTAGAAACTCCAGGTAGAAATATGATCAATTCTAATAAGTTCTTTCACTTTTCTTTTATATCGTTTCTCCTTAAGTCTGTTGGTTTCCCTCATATCCAGCAATAGTCTCCAATTGGATTATTTCAGGTTCAAGTTGGGACATTATTAATCTCAAAGTTTAAAATAGTATTTAATTAGCTATCTAAGAAATAAGAGACAAAGTTTTAATTTTTTTGGCTGGAAATTGAAAATTAAATGCAGTAATCCACACTGCATTTAGCACATTGCCTGACATTTAGTAGATACTCAGTAAGAGTTATAATATTATTGATATATATATTTTTAAAGATGTATTTATTTATGCATGCAAGAACTGGGGTACAGGCCAGAGGTGCAGGGGGTTAAGAGGACAGTGTTTACTTTAAATCAATGTGATTTAAAGTGGGCAACAGAACAGGCAGACTGACACAAAAAACAGCTGAGGGGAGCAGCAGGCGAGATAGGAGAGGTCTGCTGCGCTATGTGGGTAGCTCCCTAGATGGCTGGGGATCGACTCATGCTGCAGAGGCTGCGGACAGCTTCACAGTGTTGTGCTTAACCCCTTGCGCCGCCAGGGAGGTCCTACTGATGACATTTAATTTAAGCTTGATTTTAGGCTTGAATACTGGAAAAGATAACTTACTAAAGAATATTAAAAAGCATAAATTGTTCAGCCTCTGAGAAAACACTTTTTATCTTGGTTTTTCTAGGTGTTTTTTTTTTTGCATTATTCTTAGAATTTTTGATATTTGTGTACAGGTTCATGTATTCTAAGTTTTTGTTTCCCAGAAAAATACTAGGAATGGATTTTGTGATATATAGTAAGCATATGTTGATCTTTACATGAAACAGACTCAAACTTTTTTAAAATTTCCATATGGTTTTACAACTTCAGATACGCATTTTGCAAATGCAATCTCCTACTATGTGCTTCCTTGTCTTTTGTTTTTTAAAGACCCTAAACTTTAATTTTGATGTACTTTTACTAAGCTTTTCTTTTGTTGATCTTGCTTTCACTATTTAAGTCTCTTTGCCTAATCTAAGTTCAAAAAGATTTTTCTTTATTGTTTCTGGTTTACAGTTAGGTCTATAGCCCATTCTAAGTTAATCTTAGTAGGTGCAGTGAGGTCCAATTTATTACATATAGTTGTCCAGTAGTTGATATACCATTTGTTGAAAGACTGGTCATCTCAGTATTTGTTGAAAACCAGATAACATATGTGGTCCTATTTCTTACTTTTTATTCTGTTCGATAATCTGTGCATCTCTCCTTTAGCAGGTACCACATATGTCTCAATTATTGTCCCTTTGTAGCTATTCTCTTGAAAACTGGTAATGTGAGTTGTCAAACTTTGTTCTTTTCCAAAAGTGTTTCTAAAACAAGTATCTGCCTAGTTCTCTGTCTTCTTTGAAAATTTTAGATTTTTTTAGAATTAACTTCTTGATATCTTTAAAAATCCTGCTAGGATTCTGTATGATATTGAATTTATAAATCAAATTGGTATAGAATGGACATCTTAACAACATCTGAGTCTTCCATTGCAGGAATATGGATTATCTGTTTATTCAATTCTTTGATTTCTTTCATTTCAATGCTAAGTAATTTTTAGCATGCAAATTTTTAGTTTTTTAGATTTATACTAAGTATTTAATGATTTTTTTAAAAGATTTATTTATTTATTTATACAAGTACTGGGTACAGTCAGAAGCGTGGGAGGGTGAGAGAATTCACCAGAGCCAGAGCAGGGAGCAGAACAGGCAGAAGGACCGAGGTACACTGCTGAGGGGAGCAGTGGGCGCGGCAGGAGAGGTCTGCGTGCCATGTGGGGCCCTCGCCGGTGGCCGGGGATCGAACCGGCGCTGCAGAGGCTGCGGGCAGCTTTGCAGCCCTGCAGCCCAGCGCTCAACCACTGCGCCACCAGGGAGGCCCTATTTAATGATTTTTGGACACTACTGTAGGAAGTACTTTTTCAAAATTTCAATTTTTAACATTAGAAATTAATTTCTAATATAGAAATTGAAAAATTTTTTTAATTGGTCATATATCATGTGGCCTTGTTCTTTTTATATCTTCCTCAGGATAGTGTACATTCACTTAGCTTTGAATTTTTATTCCTATGTGTATTTTATAAGCAACTGCCAACACTTAGTAGTTGTGGATGTATTTTGTACATGTTGATCTCTTACATGCTCATTCTTTCCTTTATACTTTACAGAGTGTCCCACTGGTCCAGACATCATTCCAATTGTAGCTGGTGTGGTTGCTGGAATTGTTCTTATTGGCCTTGCATTATTGCTGATTTGGAAGCTTTTAATGATTATTCATGACAGAAGGGAATTTGCCAAATTTGAAAAGGAAAAAATGAATGCCAAATGGGACACGGTAAGTTGCAAAGCATCTAAAAAAGTAAGGTGGTTTAAGTAAATGTAATGTTTCTAAAACTTACTAACTCTAAAACTGATTATTGAAGTCTTCTTGAAACATTTTATTCCCCTAGAAGTTCAGAGAACTTGCATTAGTGAAAAAACATCTTACATTCCCTTAAAAAAAATTGTAAGAATGTATCTTCCAGTTACTGTGGTCAATGCTTTTATTTTATTATTAATCTTTATCCTATGCTCTTGTGCCTTTTTGTTAAAAAATAGAAACTAAATAATATCTGTATGGAAGTTCTCTCTTTCCCCCACTCCTCTCTCCTCCTCTCCCCTCCCCCCCTCAATAAACTAAGTGGAAAGCAGCCAAACTTGGGTTGAATGCCAAGCTGTGAAACTGTCCGCAGCCTCTGCAGTGCAGGTTTGATTCCTGGCTGGCCAGGGAGTAACCCACATGGCGTGGCAGACCTCTTCCTGTCTCGCCCACTGCTCCCCTCAGCAGTGTCTTTGGTTGTCTGCCTGTTCTATTCCCTGCTCTCTCTGGTGAATTCTCTTACCCTCCTATGCCTCTGACCCGTACCCCAGTTATTGTATAAATAAATAAAACCTTTAAAAAAAAAAAAAAGCAGCCAACCTCAAAAGGTTATATACTGTATGATACCATTTATATGACATCCTGGAAAAGGCAAAACTATAGAGGCAGAAATCAGATCAGTAATTTCCAGAATCTAGATTAGGGAAGAGGCATGAGAGATCTTGGGGTGATCTTGATTGTGGATGTATTTATACATTTGAAAATGTGGAGCTCAATTGGCATATTTTATTGTCTGCAAATTGTAATTCAACAAACCTTGCTTTATAAGCTGTTAAGTGATAGAATGTGCTAATATTTAGTGCTTTGAAATAGGGAGTCAAAAGATAAGCTGGCCAAATGTTGACCTTTGTGTAGTCATCTTTTATACAAAAAGGCAGTGATAATCTTCAGTGTTTTACATTGTAAATTATTTTTAGTCATTTTATATTTTACTACCAATAGGCTGGGATTTTAAAAAAATTAATGAATTTCAAAGATGTAGAAATAGTAAAATAGTAAACATTCTTTTTATAGTGTTTGAACATTATGTATGTCAGTTTTTTCTGATGAAATCATTAGAAACTATTTCTTTTACTTTAGCAAGAAAATCCAATATACAAGAGTCCTATTAATAATTTCAAGAATCCAAACTATGGACGTAAAGCTGGTCTCTAAGTTGCCGTTCGTATTTTCTTTTTCTGTTTCTGCATGTGAACTTTTATACCTTTTTACTGCACTGTGTGCCTTTTATCACTACTGCTACTTTTTTTTTTTTTTTTTTAAGTCTGGCTTTATATGGCTATATCTTGGCTTTTGTGTGTGTGTGTGTGTATGTGTGTATTAATTTAGAGTTAGTGTTTTAGACAGGATTTAAATTAAGCTTTATGGCAAAGAAGCAGTACTATGTTGTACTGAAAAGAGAATGCTTTGTGGTCAGAAAGACCTAGGATCAAGTCCCAGCTTCTCCACTTAGTAACAAAATAGTACTGCGTCACTTTCATAGAGCGTTAGTCTTAAATCTTTAACAGGGAGTCAATAAATATATCTGTTCTGTACTGTAGTTGTTTTTGCTAATAACTTAATTTTCATGAAATGCTTCTAGCATATTTTAATGTAATCAGGTAAGCCCCTAAAATTCTTTGGTGAAAAGGTTAATGTGATTAGAAAAGATTCGCCTGACTGGTGATCCAGAACTTTCCTTTCCCCACGACTTTTATTCTCATATTGCCTATGAGAAATCAGAGACATACGTAGAATGATTAGGTAATATGACCCAATTTACGTGACTAGTTACTGGAAAAATAGACTCAAACCCAGATTCCATGTTCTTATCTACTACGTAGCAGCCACATACCTTCTTCAGGAGACTTTGTTACCAGGTTTGGAAGAGAGAAATCATTCTTTGTAGATTGTTGAGATTCTTTTTCAAGAAAAAGTACAGTAGAAATAAACTAGAATAACCAATAGAAGTGAATGAAGAACATCTAGAAATTAAAACAAATCATGGATTGTAGCACTTTGCTGATGGGACAAAGGCTTGCCAGTCAATTATGCCATTAACATATTTAAGATAATGGGCAGGCACTGTGATTCTTTTAGCACTTAAGACTAAAATGTGTATGTATTAAAGAAAATTAAATTATCAACATTATACTTATTAAAGTGGATTGAAAAGATTGTCTAGTGTGGCCTCCCTTGCTGTTACACAAGTTTAATAAGGATTCCTAATCTCCCACAGTTGTGCCTTGTATAGCTGATATACTATGGAGATGATTTGATAGCTACCCGGTCAGTCACTGAGCGTGAGCATCAGGATGACTTTTCCTGAGTACAGAAGTCTTTTTTCCTGAAAACAGCCCTGTTCTCTTAATAAACTTTTCCTTTTTGCTGAAGTTGGGATGGGACTATAATATGAAGGATGGAAACTAATCTGAACTATTTTACCTTTTCTCTATTTGAAATGATGCCTAACTTAGTGTATTTATAATTTTATTTCTAACCATGCATGTTAAACTTTTGTTTGGATGGACTTTGAAATAAATATAAATGTTTACATATATGAAAAGGCAAACTATTCTACAAAGGTGCATTCTACCATACAAATATCAGACTCATGAATGACTTAGTTGATTTTTTTTTGTTTTCTGAATTTTTTTGGTAACTCCTTCAGAGTTAAGAATTAATAGATTTACTGTGCAGTTTTAAAGAAGCTGTATGGTAATTTTCCAACATATTTGAAAGAATGGGTAGTACTAGCCTCATAATGCAGATTAGGAAGATAGAAATAGGGAGTATAACATTTGTCCCTTACAGCTTGTTAAAAATGTAGTTGCTGGGATCCAGTTTCCTATCTTTATTATGAGTATCTGTTGTAATATCTGTTTAGAAATGTATTAGTTTCAGTTAATTAGGATTAAAGCTCACAATTTGGTATCCTACATGACTTCTAGTGCATTCAGAGTATGTAATGTTTGTCTTGAGTCAGTAGTTGTATTTTGCAAGGTGGAGTGGAACATACTATCATGTTTTAATTGGTGTTCAGACTGATTTGCTGAAATCATAGTGGTTTATTTGATGATCCTCAGGACCCAGACATTATGTTATACTTTTGCTCAATGACCTATCTATATGATAAAATTTAACCTTTTAAGTGTGGCATATAAGTCTTTCCATGATTTGGAACTGCCTTCTTGTCTCTTCTTTCCCCATACCTCAAAACTCAGGGACCCTTAAAAACTTTTGAGCTATGTATGTTTCTACATAAATGTGCCATTCTTTTCACTGTACCTTGACTTTACATATGAAGTCTAACACTGCATGTGTTTGTTTACCTTTCAGTATTTTAGTTACATTCACTATGAAAATACCCCAATCTTTCTAGTCACTCCCTTTATTCTTATTCTCATTATATACAAAATTCTATCTTGTACTATATCAAAGTGCCTTAATTAATTTACATGGTGGTCATCCACCAAATTGTATTCTGGAAGAGGGCAGAAATTATGGCAATAAAAGCATGATCCACATCTGCAGTGAAGTAGGAGTAAAATTTAAAAAATATACTCTTGTTCTTTATATTTTTTAGAATGACCACAGGTGGTTCTATGGTGAGAAATAAATCTAAATAATACTTTAAAATCATAATTTTTTCCTTAAAAACTTAAAATGTGTTGTTAAAATTATTTGATTTGTACTCATTGTAATTTCTTCTGTTACAGTGTTACTTGGTTATAATGCTTGCTTGGCTTTCAAACCTACTTTTTCAGTTTATAAGAACAAGAGAGAAAGGAATGTTATAGCAGATATTTAATGTATTAGCATTAGAGAATTTTTAAAGAAATGGTAGTGTGGGTTTGCATATTTTTCTGCTTAACATAATGACTGCCAGTATATTTTGGGGTCTTGAAAGAACTAGAGTTGATTTTAGTACTCTTTACCAACAGAACATTGCAAAAATTTAAACTTTCACCATTGAGAATATTAAAGGATATCAGTTATTTCATGATGATTGTAATTATTGTTGTTAACCTTTTAAGCACATTTGGCAGTGTGATGACTTGGTGGAGATACAGTGCCTCCTTAATGACACTATGACAGCATTACTCTCTAAATCAGTAATTTTCATAGGAGAGCCTCAGGAGAACACCTCCTGCATAGAGATGACAGCCAAGGATTCCTGCTAATTATTAAGCACTTTCTGTGTACAATAAAGAGTTAAGAGGGCCTCCCCGGTGGCGCAGTGGTTGAGCGCTGGGTTGCGAAGCTGCCCGTGGCCTCTGCGGCACCGGTTCGATCCCCGGCTGCTCCCCGGCTGCTCCCCAGCCACCGGAGGAGGGTCCCACATGGCGCGCAGACCTCTCCTGCCGCCTGCTGCTCCCCTCAGCAGTGTACTTCGGTCCTTCTGCCTGCTCTGCTCCCCGCTCTGGCTCTGGTGAATTCTCTCACCCTCCCGCGCTTCAGTGATGTACCCAGTGCATGTTAAATAAACAAAACAAACAAACAAATAAATAATATAATAAACATGCATTACTCTACTTAAAAAAAAAAAAGAGTTAAGAATCAGTCTGGCAGTTGAATTGATTCTCTCTTAAGACAATCATTCAAAACTTGTTCAAAGAGAAGCCCTAACAGTACATTTTCTGCTATTGAGGACAATATTAAATCAACTCTCCAGTGGAGGAAGCACTCAGGAATGAAATAATAGATTGCAGGAGCACCTCTATACTTGTAGAACAAGCTTTCATTTTTAACCTTTATTAATGCCTTTTAAAAAAAAATTGAATGTGATATCTGTACAGATAAAATGGAAATGACTTCTGAAAATTATTTGAACTTGCAAGATTGTTTTATAAAATATTACATGATTTTAGCAGAGTAACTGATTTTTTTTTTTCACTTTTTTTAGGGTGAAAATCCTATATATAAGAGTGCCGTAACAACTGTTGTCAATCCGAAGTATGAGGGAAAATGAGCACTACCTGTCCAAATTTCACAACACTGAATGCAAAATAGTAATTTTTATAGTCACGATAAGGTAGCTTTAGGGCAATATCACTATGATTTTTATTTGTGCAGGTTTTGAAAGTGTACAATATGTATAATTAAAATGTTTTTTTGTTTGTTTTTTTGTTGTTTTTTTTTTTTGAAAATAATGTTATAATCAATGCCAGGGACTGACAAAAGACTTGAGACAGGATGATACTTATCCTTGTCAGCTAAGGTCACATTGTGCCTTTTTGACGTTTTCCTCCTGGACTTTTAAAATCAGGTTCTTTTTGGACTGAAAAGATTTCAAGAATGATTGAAAATACAGTAAAGTATGAAATGACGTGTTTCCACTAATCAGGTATTAAAACTGATTTTTAGTTTTACAGATATGTACATTTTTAGTTATATGAATCCAAAGTAAATGTCCCTCAAGATGTTTAGAATTAAGTTTATCTTGTTATTTGCCTATTAGGCATAAACTGATGTCATATCTGAAAGATGGGTGTCTTGGGAGTTACTAGCATAAAATAATTTTGAAATATTTTGATCTACAAAGGCCATGGGAAAGTTAGAGAAGTTAGGAAAGGAAAGCATAGCTTTAAAACCTGTGTGCCATTTTTAAGAGTTACTTTATCTTGGTAACTTTCATGCCTTCTCTTTATAAATTCAAGCCTTGGGGAAAAGTATTGAGAAAATTTCTGCTAAACAGATGTTTAATTTTGCATTATTTACATACAGGACTTAATTTATATAGCATTCGCTGAATTGGGGTCCATCCAGTTGACTATATTGTTTGGCTATTTTGTTAAAGCCTGGTGCTTTCTTACCACCTCTTCTAATCTTTTGATGTATTTGTTTGCAATTTTGGGTTAAATTTTTTTCTATCAATACATTTTCTTTGATGTTTAGCTGTAAATTTGCCTTTTTAAAGAACATGTGAAGTTGTGTTGCAGCTTATCCAACAGCTTTCACTTAAGCAAGTGTTACTTTCAGTTAGTGCTGTAACAGATCACTGTATATTTACTTCTCACTGAGTTATGCATTTTGTTTCATACTAGTCACATCCTTGTGTTAAGTGCCTTTTAATTTTAACCGTTCACTTTTTACAGTGCTGTTTACTGAAGTTATTTATTAAATAAATAAAAAAGCCAACAATATTTAAATTGGATGTTTTTGTTTTATATTGATATACTTTTGTCCATTTGTGTGCATGATTTTTTTGGTATGAAATTTTTATATCCTTTAAGGTTGATAAACATTTCTGATTCATTCACTTAAGAAGCTAAAGTATATTTCTAAAAAGATAGACCAGGAACATTTGACATGAGGAAAATATGGCAGTATAGACTCAACATTATCTTTAGGCTTATCACCCACACTTCCTCCCACTCCACTCTGACACTAGGATATAGAGTTCATCCCTATAGTAAGCAGAATTCACTCTTTAGTAGCTTAGAGCCATTAACTAGTAGCTAGAAATTACATATTTTTAAGGTAACAGCCACTTTTCTGACATGGAAACTATTTTTCATGTTTTCTGGTTTATTTATGTTAGAAAGTATATATATTCATAAAAAAATATTTGTGTAACGCTTAAAGAGAAATATATTCTGGGGAGTTCGGTAAGATGGGGGCAGGGTGAAGACCCCAGGCTCTCCTCCTCTAGATGCACACAGCAAACCTGATGTAAAACAAAGCCTAAGACCTCAAGGGAAAAACTGAGTATCCTCATACACAATAGGAGAAACAATCCAACTGAAATGGGGAGGAAAATCTCTAAGTGAAATTTAGTTAAAATAATGGAGCAGGGCAACCCACAAGGGAGGCAGGGAACTGCAGTGGAGAGCTACCTACAACTATTGACTTGGGCACACACCAGTATCAGTTCGTAAGAGTCAGCACTACTCTGGTTAAAGGGTACATGAGCAGGCACCCAGGGCAGTGGATGCATTGTAGGAGAGCTATGGATGTGAGGGCACAGGGCACTAACTTAAATCTGAGGCTCACAACGTAAGTCAATTGTAATTAAAATCACAAACATTGAAATTACACCTAGTACCTTCACTGACCACAATGCTGTAAAACTAAGAAAACAGACCAGTTGCGCTGGGACAGCCACGAGAAAAAAACGAAATTAGATCCATACTCTATACACAAAAATTCATTCAAAATGGATTAAAGACTTGGGTGTAATACCTGAAACCATTAATCCTTAAAGGAAATTCTAGGGGATACACGCGTGGACATAACTGCAGAGATGCATTTGGGGATGCAACTCTTTATGGCAAGGTAAACAAAAGCAAAAATAAGTGGTTGTACATGCATTTTTGTACCTCAACCCCCCGAAAACCAAAAAGACAACCTACAAACTGGGAGAGAGATTGGCACATTACACATCTGACAACAGGTTAACTGCCAAAAAATAGAAGCATTCAAGTCAACAATAAAGAGGTAAACCACCCAAACAAACAAATAGGCAAAAGTCTTAAAAGAAGACATTTAAAGACTCTTCTTTAAAGAAGAAATTCACATAGCCTACAGGCACGTGAAAAAAGTTCATCACATAAAAGGAATACAGGTCAAAACTACAATAAGATATTTCACCCCTGTGAGAATGGCCTATATCCAAAATAGGTGAAAGCAAATGTAGAAGATGTGGAGAAAAAGGGACACTCCATCCACTGTTGGTGGAAAAGTAATTTTATGCAGCCTCTGGAAAATGATACAGGGATACTTTAAGAAAATAAAAATGGGAATGGTATTATCCAGCCATAACACTGCTAGGTATCTACCCCTCCCCCAAATATCTGAAACACTAATATAAAGAGATACTACAAATGGGACCCTTAAGTATGGGTACACGGACTGGAGAAAGGTCTCTCTCCCATAATGGGATTCCTCAAGTTGCAACACCAGTAGACTAGGGCCTCTGGTATGATACCAATCATTCCATGCGAGTCCAATCTCCAAATGGAGTTGGAGTCAAAGATAGTTAAATCCCCATTCATGCATGGGCCCTTTTCCTCTCTAGGGTGAGTATATTTAGGAAGAAATTGAGGTAAGTCCATGAGGGGCATGAATGACCCCTAGAGAGTATTTCAGACTGAGCAGCAGCTTAGCTATTGCCCTTTGCATCACTGCTATGACTGATGGCATAAACACTGCTTTCAGCAAGGCCAAGACTAGTCTGTGCTTAATGTCTTTGCTGGCTGTAAGGAACCTCTTTCCTTTCATATGGTGCCATGTGCATGTAAAACCATGAAGAAATAATTTAACTTCGCTTGAGCAATCCAGGGCTCAAGTCAGGGCTATCAGTTTGACCTGTGCTGACATCTATGCTGAGAGAACCTTGGCATCTATGGTGTCCTGAGGCATCAATACTGTATACCCTGTTCCATAAAACTGTTCCCATCTATAAACAGTTCCCACTCTGGATCTGGTTGGCTAGATAGACTTTTAGTAGTTTCTAAACAGGGGTTATGAGTCCGTCATTAAGGTTCTGTGCATTGATGTGGTAAAGTGGGACTGCAATTCTGGTTCTAATAATGGCTAGCACTCTCAGGTGATTCCCTGTCTATCATGCACATAGAGTCAGAAAGACTTCCGAGGTCTGGCAGCCCTAACGTTAGTACAGATATTGGCCTCCCTTTATTTCATTAAGAGTTGTTGCCACTCAGGAGTCCAAAACAAAGATTGGGAGTCTGGGCCTTTGAGGGACTTGTATGCAGGTTTTGCTAATAGCCTCAAGTTGGAGATCAAAATTCTACAAAACTCAGTCATTCTCAAAATCCACATAATTGCCTTTGATTGCTGCGTAATTCAAGAGATGAAAATCACCTGTTTTATCTCAGTTATGAGGCTTTGTTTTTTTTTTTTAACTAAAATCCCAAGTATGCCACATTTTCTTTGCATATCTGAGCCTTTGGAGGCGACACCCTGTAGTGGCACTCTGTCAGGTGGTTCAAGACCAACGTGGTATTCTCCAGGCAAGATTCATAGTCATAGCTGGCAATCAGTAAATCATCCACATATTGGGAGCAGGATACCCTGTTTTAATTGGCTCTCTTTGAGATTCTCTAGCCAATATTTCCTCCCAAATATTTGGAGAATTCTTAAACCCTTGTGTAAGCACAGTCCAACAATATTGCAAAATACATTGGGACTCACTGTCTTCCCACTCCAAACCAAAAATTTGTTGACTCTGGACATCTACTGGGATGCAGAAAACTCACCAGGGTTTGCAATTAGCAGGGTGTAAAGATTTGGCAGGGTTGGATGTACGTTCTAGACAATCTCATTAATGGCCCCCAAACCCTGAACAAAACAGTACTCATTGGTGTGGCGTCTCTTTACTGGTAAAATCAGTTTTGTGAAGCAACAGGGACAAATAGGCCATACTGGAGACACTTATAATACTGACTGCATTCCTAGCAAAGCCACCTCTTTTAGAAGATATTTTCTCCTCACGGTTCTGCTCCCTTCCATCACCTTTATTTTAACAGAGTCTGCATTTTTGGCATATTACAGAGTTTTATCGGCCCAAACCACTTTACCTACCTCTTTTGCAGCCATCCCAGCCTGAGGAGGTTCATCTTCAGTTCTTACAGACGAAAAGATAACGGAGCCTTCAGTAGCTTTCTAGAGGCCTCTACTTCTCTCTTCGGACCCAGGTACACAGGCACACCAGGCATGGAGGCTGCCATGCAGGGAGGCCAGCAACGGCCAGGCAGGGAGGCTGGGAGGCAGACAGGCAACCAAGGCCCTCAGCCTCCCATGAATCTTTTAGGCTCTTTCCCTGGACTCTCTGGCGTTCTCTCCTGCTTCATCTCGTGACCTTACCTCTTCCGTAGTCCCGTGCTGGTCCTCTCACAGCCGCTGCCGCCTTAACTTTCATCCCGGCCGGCCTCTAGGCGCAGGTGTGCACACTTACGCATGCGCACATGCCCTCACTCCAGGTGTCCACAATCAGGTGCGCATGCCCTGTGTCCAACCCCCTCAGCCCCAGGGCATCCCCACCAGCGTCAGGAGGGTGGGAAAAAAGCTGATGATGTCATTTACCCGCCATCACCTTTTCCTTGATTTCTTGGGGCAGCACTTCACCTACGGGAGGAACATCCTGAGTACCGTCTGGAAATGCAAGGCTTGTTCTTGGGATACTTACAGGTGCAACCTCTGAATCTCTGGGTAATAATCTCTGCATTAAGTTTACTTACGAGTAATGCCAAAGACATGGTAACTAGACATTCTTTCATGTATAAAAGTCTATGTGTAAGGTTTCCATCATCAGATAGGCATTCCAGGGGTTGCAGGAAGGTTTTCTGTTTTGACCTTCCATAATCCTGGTGACTGGTACAGTCCTCTTGCTGACCCTGGCTAATTTTGAATTCATAACTGAATAGGTTGCTCCAGTGTCCACCAAGAAGTTAATCAAATGGTCCTACCCTGCTAGAGTTATCAGGGGCTCCAAAGAAGCTTTCATAATGAGGTTTTTCAGATTAGTGGGACACCTGGACCTCCCTATTCTTCATCTGAACCCCCTCTAGACAACCATGTCTCCTCTCTTCCATCCTTGCTTCTTTATTCCTTCTACTCTGCTTGAATTCCGCACTTGAGACATGCATCTGAATCCTCATTCTGTGTTGTCTTCTCCCTCCTTTCCTTCTTTTCACCTTCCTATTCTCTTTATCTCCCCCACCCCCCCAAAAAAAACCTGGAAGTCCTTTGGATGTATCTTTTTCTGGCACTAGGCACACTGGTTCTTCTTCAAATGTTTGCTTCTCCTACTTTCTCGCCATGTTCTTTCTCCTAAACCCTGTTTTTTCTTTCTATGCACACATTTGTAGGCTAGGCCTCCTTTCCCCTCTTGCATTGTAAAATCTAATGGCTATATACACCAGCTGGGGAGGACTCATCTCTATGGCACCTACTACCTTGGTTAACTTCCTCCAGTCCAGAAAACTCTGCCCAATGAATGCCATCTTCATTATACAGGAATTTTCTGGAGTGTCTAGATTCACATCTGTGTAAGTAAGCAAAGTTTGGATAATCTTTTCAAGTAACTCAGACAAGTCCTCATTGGTCTTTTGTTGAAGGTCCAGTATCTTACCAAAATTCTTGCTTAGGCATTCCTTTCCTCAGTTTTGATAATAAACTCTTCTTGTAGTGTTCCAGTCATCCCATTCCCCATTACTGAGGTCTCAGTTAGTCTATCATTA